GAAACAAAGCCATGTATGTTCAGTCAACTAATATTTAACAAGGGAGCCAAGAATACTCAACGGGGAAAAGACAGTCTTTTCAATAAATGGTGCCAGCAAAATTGGATATTCACACGCAAAAGAATAAAACTGAACCCTTATCTTATACCACTCACAAAAAGTAACTCAAAATGGACTAAAGACTTAAATATAAGATCTTAAGCCATAAAAATCCTACAAGAAAACATATGGAAAAAGCCCTTTGATATTGGTCTTAGCCCTTTGATATTGTTTTGGCTATGACATGCAAAGCACAGACAGCAAAAACAAAACCACACAAGCGGGACTACGTCAAACAAAAAAGCTTCTGCAGAGCCAAAGAAACAATCGATGAGAAAAGGCAATCTACAAAATGCATGAAATACTTGGCAAATCATGTATCTGATCATGTATCTAAAATATGTAACTAACTCCTACAACTCAATAGCAATAAATAATAATAATGATCTGATTAAAAATAGGCAAAGGACTTGAACAGATATTTTCCCACATAAGATATACAAATGGCTACCAAGGACCTGAGGATATACTCAACATCGCTAATTACCAGGGCAATGTAATTCAAAATTCCAATTCAAGAATGTAATTCAAAATTCCAATTCAAAGTTACAAAATTATCACCTCACACTTGTTAGAACGGCCAAAATGAAGAAAAGCAAGAGATAACAAGTGCTGGAGAAAATGTGATGAAAAGGAAACCCTTGCACCCTTGGAGGGGATGTAAATTGGTACAACCACTATGGAGAACAGTACAGAGTTCCTCAAAAGCTCAAAAACTCCCAATGAAGGGATTAGTGTTCTTTTTGTTTGTTTGTTTGTTTGTTAAGTTTATTTATTTATTTTGAGAGAGAGCACACGTGTGTGGGAGAGCAGGAGAGGGGTCAGAGAGAGAGGGGAAGGAGAGGGAGAGAGGGAGGGATGGGGGGGAGAGAGAGAGAGAGAGAGAGAAAGGGAGAAAGAGAGAGAGAATCCCAGGCAGACTCCTTGCTGCCAGAGTACAGCCCACCGCAGGGCTCCATCCCACAAACTGCAAGACCATGACCTGAGCCGAAACCAAGAGTTAGACGCTCAACCAACTGAGTCACCCAGGTGCTCTGGGATTAGTGTTTCTCTCTCTCTCTCTCTCTCTCTCTCTCTCTCTCT